CGTTTTGCACCCAAAAGCGTGCGCGCTCTCTGCGATCGTCCTTGGCTACGTTTTCGGAAAGCCTTCTCTCTTCTTTCTTTTCTGTCGGTCGTTTTCCTTTGTCTCATTGCTCCAAGATGGGCAAGGCTGGACTTGCCGAGGACGACATTTTGAGCGTATTTTTGTTTATGACTCTTGATGGGGTACCACGTTTCTTTCTGGCTTTAGCTACCTTCACCACGCTTGCGTTGTTTTTATCTCTTCACGCGTCTCATTACATTTGGGAACCATCTCTGGGCATGTAGTACGAGCGAGCGAGTTTGTATTTTTTTTGGCTGATTTGTTTTGTTTCCTGTTATGAGAAGATACCCACTCCCTCTTCACAGAGGTCAGATCCAGAAGGTCTATCATTTCCGAGACGCGGATATGGACGAGGGGAATAAGATGGAATGAAAATGGAATATTTTGCACAAGGGACAAAGCGTGTTCATGACGGCAGCGGCTTGCTCGGGTTGGGTTTACCGGGTGGCAAGGGGGTGCTGCATTTTGCATCAGAGCTTTAAAAGTAATACGCGAACCATCTATCGTGTTTCCCATGCGCCTTGGTGTTGATAGTCTGTGTATGCTACCATCACTCCTCTCTCGTGACTTTTCTCATACGAGTCACACCTCAGGCAGGTGCCGGCTGCTGCTGCGGCTGCTGCTGCGGCAGGCGGGCGACGACGGCGTCGACGACGGCGCGGAAGGCCTCCATCTCCTCGTCGGCGGTGCCGCCCAGCCCGGCGGCGGCGAAGCTGATGGAGTTTGTGACGCAGACGGGCAGGCCCGAGCGGCGGGCGACGAGGCGGGCCATGCGGTTGGTCAGCTCGAGCGTGGGCTCGACCGTGTAGAGGGGGGTGGTGAGGGGTTGCTGTTTGTTGAAGCGCTGTTTTTGGGGGGTGGGGCGGTGTTGGTTAGTTGGACGGGAAGGAAGAGAGGACATTGGAAGGGAAGGTTTACGTCGGGTATGGCGTAGACAAAGGACCCCATGGGCGAGGGGTTGCCCTGCTCGTCGGCCGCGGCGGTGGTCAGGCAGAGCATGATGGACTTGGACCGCACCGTCAGGTGGACGTAGATGCGGGTGTCGAGGGAGCGGGGGAGGGGGAGGGAGAATTGGGATGTGGTTGTTGGTGGTGTTTCTGCCATTTTGGCTTCTTTTTGTTTTGAATGGGCTCGGTTTGATGATCGTCCCGTCGTTTTTGGGGTCTGGTGCTGAAGTTGTCGCTACTTCTCCATTAATGATGAATGATGAGCGCCCCCCACCTTCCAGAACAAATCAACGGCGCCGCGCTGGCTGTGGGTGTTGACTAAGAAGGGGCGCGGACGCGACTGCTGGATGAATCACCTCGGATGCGTAAAGCAGCTGCCTCGACATTTTGGACTGTCCCACCAGAAAAAAAAAGGAGAAAAATGGGTTCTTGTCAAACGTCCCGACACTCTCAGTCTTGCTGGCCGTCGACCAATATTTTTATCCCCTCGGGTCACACCAATTAGCTTCCCTTCGCTCCTTAGCTGACACATTTGACACTGACCAATTCTCAGAATCTAGCACTTCTGGTGTAATATAGTGGGGTAGGCTGGCTCGTGATAGATACACGTATCGACCAGGACCTGACTGGACGGACAGGTTCACGCAATGGCGGCGGCGGCGGCCGACGACGGCGACTGGCAGGGCGTCGAGAACGACGTCACGGACCCAGAGGAGCTGGGCGTGATCCACGCGGCGCTGGACTCGTTCTTGTACGGAGGCTCCCGAAGGCGGCCCCCCTCTGCCACAGACGGTCCAGTCCATAGCTGACACCCGCCCACCAGCCAGTACTCGCGCGTCGCGCACTTCAACAGCACGCACCTGCGGCGGCAGTCCTTCTACGCGCTGCCGCAGGCGCACTGGCGGCTGCTGGCGGCCCCGCCCTTCAGCTTCCTCGAGACGCTGGACCGGGTCGACGAGGCTATCGACGGCAACGCCGAGCTGGGTCGCGCCATCGCCACGGCGGGGATACGATCCTTCCACATGCAGCCGCAGTCGGCCGCCGCCAACGCCGCCACCGACGCCGGCATGGCTGCCGCCGCTGCTACCACCACTGCTTGTGTCCTGCCCGTCATCTCGGGCCCCTGGACGGGCGCTGCCAAGCCGTCGGATATGGACAAGGCTCGCAGCACCCTTCGTCAGTTCTACCGCGACTGGTCCGCCGAGGGCGCCCGCGAGAGGGAGGCCAGCTACGGGCCCGTCAAGCGCTTCCTGGAGGAGGAGCGCGGCAGGGTGTCGCAGCGGCCGTCGTCACCGGCACGGGCGGGGGGCGGCAACAACATCCCCATCGCCCCCGCCATCGAGGAAGACGCCAGCTCCCCCGCCCCTCCCCTCAAGGTGCTCGTGCCGGGCGCGGGCCTGGGCCGGCTCGTCTTCGACCTGTGCGACCTGGGCTACGAGGTGGAAGGCAACGAAATATCGTACCACCAGCTGCTGGCGTCGGCTTACGTGCTCAACCGGGCGCCGCGGGCGGGCTGCCACCGCATCTACCCCTGGATCCAGACCTTTTCCAACCACCGCTCGCGCGCCAACCAGCTGCGGTCCTACGCCATCCCGGACGTGCACCCGGCCACTCGGCTCGGGACGGCGCCTGCCCGTCCGGGAGGGAGCATGTCCATGACGGCGGCCGACTTTCTGTGCCTGTACGAGCAGGACGACCAGCTGGGCCGGTTCGACGCCGTCGCGACCGTCTTCTTCCTCGACACGGCGCCCAACCTGGTGCGCTACCTGAGCTGCATCCGCGGTTGCCTGCGCGAGGGCGGCGTGCTCGTCAACGTGGGCCCGCTGCTGTGGCACTTTGAGAACAGCGCCCCCGGGAACCGGGGCCACGACGACGACGGGGACGGCGAGCACGACCCGGCGGCGTCGACGGGCATCGCGGACCCGGGCTCGTTCGAGCTGACCGAGGACGAGGTGCTGGCGCTGGTGGAGCGCGTCGGGTTCGAGATTGTGCGGCGGGACGAGGATGAGGGTCTGGAGGCGCCGTATATTCAGGACCCGGACAGCATGCTGCGGACTGTTTACAGGCCCAGCTCGTGGGTGGCGCGCAAGAGGGCGGGCTGGCGGGGGGAGGTTTGAGAGAGAGAGGGAGGGAGGGAGGGAGGCAGGTTGCGGTGCATAAACGCTAGTGGATCGAGGCACTGAGCCAGAGATGGTTGATGTATACATGGATTGTACCCTAGATATGACGCAGTGCAGACGCGCGAAGGAACCCTTGCTCCCACCCTACAACAGTTCGATTACATTCGCTCTCGCCCCAGAGACCGACCATATATCAAACACTCAAAAACGTACAAAATCATAGCTTCGCAGCAGGCTCCAGCAGCAGCTCCCCCCGCTGCCACATGGCGCCGCCATCTATGGCAATGGTGGCGCCGTTGACGTGGGCGCCCGCGCGGCTGGCCAGGTAGACGACGACCCCCGCGATGTCCTCGGGCCTGCCGAGGCGGCGCATGGGGTTCCGGCGCGCGATCTCGGCCGCGCCCCCGCTCAGCTCCAGCAGGCCGTCTGCCATCTTGGACGGGAAGAAGCCCGGCGCGATGTTGTTGACCGAGATGCCGCGCGGGCCCAGCTCCAGGGCCAGGTTGCGGCCCAGGTGGATGGCGGCCGCCTTGGAGGCGCTGTAGCCGAACTGTTTTTTGTTTGTGTTGGTTGGGAGGGTTCTTTCTTACACATGACACATGGATGGGGGGGGGGGGGGGGGGGGTGGGTGTGTGTGGTGTAGTA